TATTTTTATTATTTTTCATGACAAAAAAATAGTTTATTAGGTTAAATAGAATTCATTTTCTTAAATAAATTTGTAAATAATACAAAAAATATTATATATTTTTATTTTTATTATTTATACACTTAAAATAATATTTTCATATAATATTTAATTTTTCAACATTTTTGTATATATTTTTATTTATTTTCTTGTACATATAAATAAATAAATAATATAGAATATTTTCTTTTAAACAAAAAAATTAGGGTTTTCACCCTTTCAAAAAAATAATCACTTTATTTCCTTATTTTTAGGATATAATTAAATTTATTTTTACATACATAAAAATAAATACAAAAACATTTGTGCATATTTATATTTTATTGTATATTTAATTAATTGTTCATTTATTTATTTGTGCAATATTTCAATTTGGTTGTAATTATATTTTAGGGTTTATTTTTGTGCAATATCCCCCTATTCAAACTTGTATCCCCCTCCCCATAATATTGTTGTAATAGTCTTAGATTTACTTTTACGCAATTTATCGTATTATATGCATGATAGTAAGAACTAGGGTTTGTATGCAAAAGACCAAAATCAAACAAATAGCATGACTAAAACACAAGACAAAAATGCATGAAAAATGACGACACATTGCACACAAACACCCCTAGGGTTTCATCCACTTTGTTTCCTTAAAAATGGCCATGGTATGCATGCTAGGTATCTTGGCAAAACAAAATCAAACAAAAGATCATAGTCCCTTGATGACGCTATCTTGGTTGCCTATACAAAAATGATCTAGTCCCTCAAAAAACTTGCTAAGATACTTGGCACAATTGCTATCATGGTCATACGATGATCCGCGCCCGTCCCGTTTAACATCCAAAGATAGGGTTGTTTACCAAATACAATGGTAAAACAACCATGTCAAAGGGTTAAAAATGTACAAGAAAGACTTTTGATTAGGATAGACAACTCCTAGTTACTTGATCAATTTGCAAACCATCCTTGCTAATTTCAAAAAAACACACACACAATTTCAAAACATTTTCCAAACAAACTTTCAAACATTGAAACATTTTTCAAAAGACATACATCTTTGTATACATTCTTCAAACAATAATCATTACAAAGATTGCCAAAACGATGGCCTCTTTTCAAAATACTTTTAAAACCACACAAAGCACCATTTTAAACAATTGAAAAAGCAAAGCAAGTGATCTAAACAAGTAACTAAGAGCCCATGGAAAACTATGGATGAAAAGGGTGCTAGCACCTTCCCTTTTCATAATCTACCCCCCGAACCCAAGAAAACATCTCAAAGGTCTTTCCTGTGCTTTTTGACCTTTCTTTTGGATAAAATAAAAAGTCGATGGTGACTCTTGCTTAACCGAAACATTTGCGAACACAAACGCAAAACCTCAAGTTAGTTCTCCCACCGTATCACACATTAGATTTCTAATGCTTCAAACGGTGCGTCAAACGAAGTCCTGAAACTTAAGTTGCGACATGTTAAAGTTCTGTCAGACACATCTCGCCTGAGGCTCACCCGGCGAAGCAAGTTACTCACCCGAGGCTCGCCCGACGAGGATGAGGCGAATCAGTTTCCCCTATACAACATCCAGAATCATGCATTTTCTTCCTGTCTCCTTCACCCAGCGAGGTTGTTCGCTCGCCCGACGAGCTTAGCTCGCCTCTGCTTCGCCCAGAAAAGCTGGAGCGAGTCCTCTTCTCTCATACAAAGGTCCAGGGGCTCTGTTTTTCACCCCTTCCCTTATCCTCACGCTCTCTCAGCACATCATAGACAGACTTCCTTTTCCCGACGACGCATCATGCTCGCCCGGCAGACCAGCACGAACAGGAATTCCCTATTGTGATCTCTGCACTGCACCAGTCTAATTTTTACCCGATTTCTTCACATTACAAGTCTCAATTCATCATGGTTTCACATAGTTTCATCATATAATACCAACACAAATTATCATGCATCATATACCTCAACTTATTGGAAAACAATCTCACAAATTCATCAATTTTCATCACATCATCATATTTATATCATCACCCCAAAACCCCAACACAAACCTACAATTATCTAACCTTAGATCGATTATAATAACAACGATAAACTCCCCTTACCTTAGATTCTCCCTAGCAATTTATTCATCTTCGCGTTCTACAAAATCTTCTGAGTTCCTCAGTGTCCTAGCTCTCTTCACAACATTCTTCTCACTTTCACGATCACAGAATGGACACTGACACTCATTTTTCTTTGTTTAACCCTTGGACTATTTCTATGGTCTTCCTATCTTACCCTCACTTACATCACAATATTACCACCTTGTCCTCATAGTCTCTACCTCTTATTATTATTCTATTTAACTAATTAAAATAATTCGAACTAGTTATTCTAATTATCTAAATTATCCTAAAAATACTCAATATCATCTTAATTCTCACTTCCCCATCATACACCACACAAAATATCATATCAAACATCATGTTCATCACAACATCACATATACTTCACAAATACGTCACAAATACTCATCATAAATTAATTAAATAATTAAATAAATAATCTAATTATTTTGGGGTGTTACATCCTTCGACCAGTTCTCACCGAAAACAGATGGTTGAGCAGCGGGCGTAGTTTCGCGCACCCCGCTGTTGAGGACTTAGAGTTTCTATCGCCGAGGAGGTACATACTCCTGCTCCTACTCTTGCACTTGTGATTGAGCCGACTATTGAGCAGCATATTGAGGAGGTTGTGACTGTTGTGGAGGGCGCAGCTGGGCCATTGTTGAGCAGGTTGTGGAGCCGGCAACTGAGGAGATTGTAGAGCAAGTTGAGGAGGTTGTTGTTGAGCGCGTTGACGAGGTATCCCACATTGATACAGACACCATGACTCGTGTGTCTACGGAGCTATCAGTTCACACTGATGGAGCCTTTCTAGGAGGACCTTCAGACAGGTCTGTGCTGACAGGATTTGCTGACCATGTCGCTTACAGGATATGGCATGGCGAGGTATATATTTTGTTTTCTTTAATTACATACTTTTTCAATTGTTTGAAAGTTGACGTATTTTATTTTTTATTCTTACAGGAGCGCTCTGTGCTGAAGGTCGCTGCGCACGGTTCGAAGTTGAATAACTTCCCAGAGAGTCCCATGCCGGAGGAAGTTAGTAGTATTGTTAGAGATTTTCATTTGGTGGAGTTCGTGCGGTGTTTCTTGACCATACTAGACGCCTCTTTGTTGTCTTCTTTTGTTGAGCGGTGGCACCCAGAGACATCATCATTTCATCTTTCATTTGGGGAGATGACGATCACATTGGATGATGTCGATACCCTATTTCACATCTCGGTCGCTGGTACATTCTTTACACCTACTCGTATTAACTATGCGACGGTGGTGCACATGGTTATGGATGATTTGGAGGTATCTAAGGCAAGGGTTCTAGAGGAGTTTGGGTTTAATCGGGAATTTCACCTTTGGATGTCTTGGTTGAGGAGATTGTACGTGGAGGTCATGGAGGCCCATAGGTACCAGGTTTCCGCTAGGGCGTACATGATACATATGATGGCATGTATTCTCTTTGCGAACAAGTCTTAAGTTTACATAGATGTTCGCTACCTATCTCTGTTTAGCACACTTGACACTCTATGTTGGTCTTAGGGACGTTGCTTCTCAGCCTGAGACCAGGAAGCTTGCTAGTTTCCTTAGCCTTTTACAAGTATACTATAATTTATTTGATAGTTTTTATTAGTTATTTTGGTGCATTTATATGATGATTTTTATTTATGCAGTGTTGGATATACGATCACTTCCCTCCCATTTGTGAATGGAAGATCCAGCGTGTCCCACCTACTCTTCCATGTGCGAGGAGATGGATGGGCAAGCTAGCCCATCCAGAAGGTGTGAGTCCAGGAGGTATGATGGAGTACAGGAGGAGACTCGGTGCACTGACCTTGGAGGATGTCGTTTGGACACCATATATATCCCATCGGCCTCATCGTGCATTTAAGGAGTCTACTTTGTATTCAAGGCATATTAGATGGGATAACCATGTGGCTAGACACTTGCCCGAGAGGTGTCTACACCAATATGATTATGTACAGGACATCCCTCATCCAGTTTCAAAGACTCTAGCTGGTGGCATTGATAGATAGTTTCAGAGTCACATCATCAGTTATCCACATGAGATCATGGATACAGCAATTGTGCTTCAGCATCCATCACAGTGTGATGGTGGATACCTGGAGTAGTTTCACAATGTGTCACACCCTCGAGTCTTACCACCGACTGCAGCATCTGATGTTTCAAGGCCTTCAGATGCCAGGGTTTATGTCAAGCCTCCACCACCACCTCCACCTCCCGCGGGTGATCAGGACAGCCATCTATAGTTTATTGCAGTTCATTTAGATAACCTCATGGATTTGATAAACACTGATCGTGAGATTTATACTGGTTTAACTAGGTTAGCTGACATAGCTCATGGAGGACCTATGTAGATCTATTTCATTTTGGTTGTATTATACGTATATTGTGACACACAGACTTTTTATTTATTGCATAATATTTTGGCAATTACATATTTCGAATCAATGATAAACATAAAATAAAATAGTACAACAAACATAAACCAAAAACAACTAAACAACAAAACCTAAGCACTACCGGATGTTTCTGAACGTTTCAGTATCTTGATTATGTCATCAACGAATCTTCGAATCTCCACATTCAACTCAATCGCACCTTTAGTTATCCTACGGCGAAATGAGCCGAACTTATACTACATAACATCTAAGGAAGGTAACATATGCTTAAATGGGTTGTATATGTCCATGGCTTCATCAGAATAAATCAAGTTAAAGCTCTCGTGCAATATAATGATCTCTAAATTTGTCAGATCACATAATACAACAAATGTCCTACAAAATTTGATTAGTGCCATTTCTCTAAAGAAAAAACTTAAATACTCCTATCTCTTTATAAATAGCCATTATCTGTTTCACTCATGCAGACTTCAACTTGGACGATGTTAAAGCAAGATAGGAAAGAATCCTGTGTCCGAAAAACATCGTAAAAGCTCCCAAAAGGCCAAGTATTTTGAGTGTGGTGAATAGGTCCAGCTGCACATGAACAAAAATGACAAGAGTAAGTACTTCAGTGGGAAAATGGCTGAAACTGACAGCATAACACTGTTCTAATGAAAACCGCCATGGATGTTAACAGCTTTGATAATGGAGTATGTATTACACAAATACAACCAAATAGAAGAGAACTTGACTTAGCCGAGTTTAATTGGAACATGTAATAATCTTATATCAATGTAAAGTGGACATACCTTCAACCAGAAAAGTACATAAAGCAACAGAACTGCAGCAAGACCAAGATGGAAAAGGGTGGCAAATGTAGCGGGTACTGTTGAACCAGGGAAATTCTTCAGGTTCACCCCCAAACGTAACAACTGTAAATGATATAAACAGAGCATACAATGTTAACTACCAAAAACTAAGATAGATCAAATAAAAAGAAAATAAAACAGCATAACAACATTGAATGTAGGAGCCAAAAATTCCCTCCACTTCTTCTCTGGCCAAATTTTGAAAATATTATCCTCATATATCATGAAACACAGCTCTAAACTTGAAAACAGATGTAAGAAGGAAAGACCATTTTTCCTTCATAAATCACATGCATTTCCCAAATAGAAATATATCTTATTGAAAAGGTAATAATATAAGAGATAGACCATTCAATTTGGGTCTCCATTACCCAACTCAGGTTCACCAGGGGTTCTTTTTTCCCCTAATAATAACTATTTAGTTCTATCCCAAAATTTCCAAAAATAATACATACTACTGCCTTATTGAAGATTTTGTTGACTAAACTAGCACAAGATTATATTAATAGAAGTAACTTTACCATTTAAATTAAATATCATGTCTAAATAACCAAACCATGTTTTCCATTTCACTTCTCTTATTTTTCCCATTTTTATCCCCACCCCCTTTTCTTAAATAGGCACAGTACATCTGTGCTGCTCTCTAGTGAGAATGATAGTAAGACTTACCCCAACCAAAAAGCCGATGAGTGGCAAAAGGATCAAACCCAAAAATACGAGAGAAAGTTTCTGGGGTGGTCGCTTTTCAGGAACCCTGAATATGTGGTTAATCTCTGCTTTGGGCCCATATCTTGAGTAAGGATCAACAGGTGGTGGAGGAGGACGAGCTGCTTTCTCAGGAGCTTCTGGAAGATCTAATTCGACATGACCGAGTAGTCGTGAGAAGGAGTTCTCCTGAAATAAAATATCTTTTTTCAGATTGCCTGTACATTACTAGGGGAAGAGGGTGGGTAACTTTAAAGTAGGAAGTTGTGCACGATACCATGACAGCATCACCAACAGTCAGCTCAATGTCATACTTGCCAGAGAGATAAAAAAGTTTTTCCACCAAGCCAAGAAAATCCTAAGAGCCGGGAAAAAAAGGAAAATTGGAGGAAGATGAGAATCGGAATAATATACAGCCTTCCCAGATATGTAAGGGGAAAAATATTATAAACAACTATTACAACCAAACTCAATAACAGAGTGATTTATTACACAATGTAACCACTTGAACAAGTGCTAAAGGAGAGATTGTTAAACCTCAGACAATGAGATATGTATCAAGAGATACTTACAAATGTGATCTCAAACTTCTTGCCAGTACTTCCAACCAAAAAAATGTGTTCAATCTTAGATTCATGTTTCAACTTTAAAATTGCCTGCCCAACAACAAAAAAAAAAAACTTTTCGATAAATAGAGCATTGAAATGACATTCATTCTCAAGGTTTTAAGAAACAACTGCAAACCTGATGAGGCTTGAAAACACGGCCATGAGGAGTTTCCAATTGGAAAGAAAGCCTCAACTTCTGCAGGTGGTTAGCCGAGAGTGAAGCGACATCATTTCCAGCCAAATCTAGCCTGAAAGTTGCAAATGAACAAATTTGAAACATATGTGGAGCAGTTACAACTAGGAATACAGCATTGAGATATAAGTTTGTATGAAACATATAATATAATGAAGACAATCACAACAATATGACATACTAATTAGAAATCAAAAGTATCCTAAATAATAAATATCACTGCAGAAAATTTACAAATAGAATGCTAAACAAAAATAGAAACATACGTCTTATAGGTTTCAACATTTCCAAGATCACTGTCCAGAACTGCAATTTCTGCACTGCCAACTTTAATAACGCCTGTGACATATATTGGCACATGAATTTGGCCTCCAGTAGCATAAACTTTGTCACTTTCAGAATCATGTAGCACAATCTACAAAGTAGGGTAAAATATTAATACCAATAGGTTGAAACAAATATACTTGGATGCAACTGAAATGAAAAATTCTAAACTAAATTACAGGCAGGAATACCTCCAAAACAAAAACATATGTTCCCACATCAACATTTTCTGGGAGGGTATCCAAGAAATGAAATCCACTTTTTTGGTCATACTGAAGCTCCTGCAGCATGCAAAAATAAAAGGGACCAGAAATAAGAAAGATTCCCAGTATACTTAACAATTGTATTATAGAGAAAATATTCTCAAATCACAACCCTCGAAAAAGCCAGTGAATCAACATCACTCACCTTGTTTTCAATAATAGCTGAATTTTTTGCTCCAGTGCTAAAAGCTCGGACAAGCTTAACTGTCAGAAGTGGTGCATCTGAACCAAGAACTGTATTGACCTTGACCTGATTCATTTTTTAACGGTTATATGATATATCCTCAACAGTAAAAACTAAAAGAAATGCTGCACAATCGCACATCTAATAATGTGAGATACTACAACAGAAGATTAAAATTGTTTGACCATTGATTATCGGAATCTCACAATACATTGACTGGTATATGGATTTTAAACAACTAAATTCAATTTATACAAATTAATGTGTATCTATTTTGGAAATGAGTCTCGGCGGGAATATCAATTCATTGTGGTGGATCTTATGAAAAGTCACTTCATCCCTGAAATGCCAGTTCACTTTTCACTATGGGTGCACAACCCAATTTCAAAAAGGCCTGCTGGGCTAGTTCTTTTGCATTTATTTCTTTTTCAAATAACCCTTGCACACTGCTGTTTTCATCCCCACTCCCTCCCACGATGTGTTTTTTAATTCTTCCAGCCTACATAGCATTTTGCACCCTTTCTACTTCATTCTTCTCTGTTTTTGGTCCCCTTGTCTTGTTCAAAGACAATGCTCTCTCTTTGATCCCACTTGCTCGCTAATTATTTGTTGTTATGTTGTTGTTTTTTTCTTATGACACTTGGTTTTACTTATAAATATCAGATTTATTTATTATGCGACTTACGATTCATAGAGATTAGATTCACAATTTAAAAAAGTAGATTTTTCAATTCACGATTTCAATCTCGACTCAATAACCATGAATGGGACAAAAGGCCCAATGTACGCCGTCAACATCTCATCACATTCCATGCTCTTAAAAAAACCATTATAATACTAGCAAACTAAGGATTCTATATTCATTAACTTAGTTACATACCTTAAGCTGGCTTTTTTTGGTCAATGAATGGACTGTTTCAGGAAGTGACAAAATCAGTGGAATGGAAATTCTACACCAAAATAAGAAATCAAAGTTAAATATTATTGCTGAACGCTAGAGGCGCCAATATATCAGCACAGAAGAAAAGGGAAATATCTCCGTGAAGCTGCAACTTCAAAAAAAAAAATTGTTGCTTGGAAAACACTTACCTGTTGCTCTCGAAAAAGGATAAGGATTCAACTTGATTGAAGAAGTCCTTGGCATCTCCGGGGATTCCAATGCCGAGGAAAAACTTGGCTAAACCCAGAATTATATCCCCTGGAAGCTGGGAAATGCAAAGCCAAAATAACAACAACAAAGCCAAAATATTAACATTAAATTCTAACACATTAATAAATTAAATAGCAATTCCTTGTTTATTACTCACATTTATTTTCCCAGAAGTTACTGCAACAAATGCAGCAACCCCTCGAACAACTGAAGAAGTCGTGGAAAGGGAACCTTGATGCTCGGATCCTTTAACAGATTTCTCATCAAAATAAAATGCTCCATCATCTGAAATATGACATGTTCAGATAAGTCTGATAAGATAAGGTGTAAAGAATGGCAGGATAGTCTACGCAAGACATAAGTTTTAGGGAAGCCAATCTAATCAGGTGGAATAGGGCAAAGAGTGTTCTTAATGCACAAGAGCTTCAAGAAAATTATGTCACTTGATGTCAATTGGTACTCTACAGGACCAAAATGCACTACAGAATTGAAAACATGCAAAAATCTCAACCCCACGAGACAAGTAGGATTTAATTGTAGGTCTTTTAAGATTTAAGCAATTTGAAGTGGTGTCTCCTCAGGATACTTAGTTCTTAACGCAGGGCCTAAGTTAATAAATAAATAAATAAATAAATAATAATAATAATAATAATAATAAGGTCCTGTTACATGCAACTGGCAGAGGCAGTTACTCCAAGAGAAACCATCAATTCTAGTACACTTGCAGTCACACGCTATAAGGTCCTGTTACACTAGCAGTCACACATTATCACCTTAGAACTTAAGGAGGTGATTGCAACTTAATTAACTTTTAATCCCCCCTCCTCCCAAAGTAAAATCAAATAAGAACAAGATGTGATGAAATAAAATGCAACAAACATGACATTATTGCTACTAAATCCATGCAAGATAATTCAAAGTTTATAAACAGTCATGAATATCTATCACTTAGAATGAGTTAAAAGAAAAAAGCTTCACATACCATATTTCTCGACGCTGTCAAATAGCTTCACTATACCATTTCTTACTATACTGACCTGTCAATATGTGGCAAATATAAGACATTGATATAAGTTCCGATATAAAGGTATGTTGGTAAGAAGTATTTAAAAGCTAGATAAGTATGTGAAGCAGAGGTTAAAATAGATATTCAGCTAGATGCCGCAACAGCGCCAGTGAGTTTAACTATAGATTCACATTTCATAATATGTCCCATAACACACATAACACAATTATGTGCATGAATTAGTGTATGAACTTATTACTCAACTATATGAGCTTTATAATAGTGAAGTAGTGAAGCAACCATTACAGAGATTCAAAACTTTACCTTACTCTGATCGATTTCAGAAGATGCAAGTGAAATCACTCCACCAAGAGCTTCAAGAGCTAATCCTGTGAAATACACGATAGATGATTATAATGTGAGGACAGACAAATGATAGTGATTGCAATCTTTCAAAGGAACCACAAAATGCTAGCCTGTTTAGGGATTGCAACAAAATTTACATGTATTGAGAAAAATTATCAGCCTGTTTATTTTAAGATCAAAAAATTTAATTTTACATTAAATAAAAGTTGATATTTTTTCAAGACTTTTTATATCATGTACATAAGACACTAATCTCTATGTTTATAATTATAATTAAAAAAATCATAGAAATAGCTTCTTTTAAATTCTCTCATCTACCACACTCATTATTTCTCATAAACTACTCAGTAGCTTTTCTCTATATCAGATTTCTCATTTTTACTTTGAATATCTTCAAATGTGATTATTTCTTCAACAAAAAACTATTTTTTTTTCAATAACAAAAAAGAAACAAGCTCTGAATATCAAAAAATTTCCGTGCAAAATATTACCAGCAGCATAGGTACTAGACTCTGGATTATCAGAGCTGTAGCGCCATCTTCCATCAGTTTGGCTTAGAGCCTGCCAAAATTGAAGGACAGGGAATCAAATGTGCATAAGACAGTTTCAATTGAAATTGCAAAATGGTTGAGGTAGAATATGGGGAAAACTAATAAAAGTTGGGTGACTGAATCTCCTATCATCAACATTAATGTGGGCAAAAGAGCAGTCACCAAAAGGCAACCCTAGTTTAATCTTATTTAATAGAAAACACAATAAGTACGAACCTTGATTGATTGAAAAACACCATTAGCATCAGTTAGAAGAACGTCAACATCTGAAGCCTGACCCTGCATACAGAGAAGGTAAGGAATGAGGACAATAACGGAACATCATTCCACATAGCAATCCAAAAATCACTCTAATATGAAACTTAATTAAGCATTCATTCAACAAGTATTTTCCATGTAAGAACTTGTATACAAATTGTTTCTATCGAAGAGAAAATTAGGGTGCACTCCGCATGAGCTGAAAAACAACACACAAAATAATCATCTAGTGGAGCTTATGAAAATAGCTTAAAAACATATCATAAGCCATTTACATAAGCTCTTACGAACACTTGCTGTGTCATAAGTTAAGTCCAAATAAGTTCCTCCAAACAACCCCTAAAAAAAGCAACATGCCAAATATCTAAAAATTGACATGACAATATACTTTACTTTGTACATTTGATGAATTAGGGATATCATAAAAACGATACATCCAGGGTGAATAGGAAATAACCCTCATTAGTAAAATAGTATTCCCAACGGATTCCAATAAAAACCAGCGTGAGTACTTGACATATCTCTCTGAGCTCAAAGAGTAAAGTAGAGACCAGATAATAATTACCTTTATAAGAGCCAAACTTCCTACAGAGTAGTATGTGTCAAGCAAAGTACTTGCATCATGGACAGTGGCCTTGAGTCTTGAGGCAATATCCTTTACAAAAAAATAAAAAACACTAGATCAGTTTTCATCAAATCGTAAGCAACATCAAAGCTGCAACCGAAACAAAAATAATAACAACAATACACAATTGAATACCTTGAAAACCGCACCATCAACTTTGCATTTCAATACGCCATTAACTTTCAACGCATAGAACACATCCTTAAGAGGGGAAGAAGACGAGCCTAGATTTTCCAACACTTTCTTACAAGTGCCTTTGGTATCAATCGGCTTCTTCTCAATTGTAAGAATCTCATAAACTCTCAGTGCCTCATACGCATCTTCTAAACTGATAACATGATAACATGCAACAACAACAACAACACATCAATTACGCGTGTAAGTAAAATCACTACAATCAAATCGATAATACAAATCTAAGCATATTTCCAGTTTTACATGCATAGATCAGAAACAATCGCTTCCTTATCGTATTATTTTTGCTATGAAAAACTAATAGGATTTGACGGAATCTAAAGAAAACAATGTAATGCAATGGATCGGAAATCGGAATGCAATTGAATTGAGAAATGGAGGTTTAATTAGGGTTTTGTAATGACCTGGGAGAGATTTCATTGAAGATGTTAGAAGCGGCGGATCGGTGAGAATCGGAGATCGGTTGGGAGATAGAGATGCAGAAGGGGAGAAGTAGCAGCAGGAGAAATGCTGCGCCTACAGCGGTTGTGGCCATTCCTGCAGAAGAAGAAAGCGATGAATCAGAGAGAGATGAATTAGGTGAATGCGTTGAGAAGAAGAAAAAGAAGTTTGGATTACGGAGAATGAGAGGAGATCGGAGAGTGGTTTGGTTCAGCTCGCAGGCGACGACTTCTACTGGTGTGTAATGTAGCTAGTTAATTATACTGGCGTTGATCGTCATTTTTTCGACAATTATTATTTTATTTTTTTTAAAAGGACAATAGTGTTGAGTTAAAGATAATTAATTTTTTTGGGTCTAAGTTTAATCGTTTTTTATTTATACAATAAAGAAAATTAATCTTGTCCAAACACACATGGGAATTTTTCATGATTAATTTAATTCATTTATGTCATAGTAATTGATCTATATTATTACCTCGACATCTGGATTTTGTTCTCTTAGCTTGGAACGGGTTGAATAGTCAGGATGGACTTTTCATCTCGGATTTTAGAAAGCCGCATACAATAATGTGTTGCCCCATGCAATATTGAGAAATTACACACGAAAAAAAACCTTTTAGACCATAACAATGGTAGCTTATGAATAACATAAAAAGGAGGAAATACTTAGTGTATGTTTGGAACCAAGTTTATAGATCAAAATCACGGTGCAAGATCATTTTCACCGTGGTTTTCTAGTGCTAGGATTCCTAGCTTTTGCCAAACACACGTTTTTTTTACTTTTCCAACACGAAAACAAACACACGTTTAAAAATGTTGAGCCACCAACAATAATGGTGATTCATCCCTTTCAAAAATAATCAGATTTTAAATTTCTTATACTTTTGTGATCCTTTCTGATCAATTACCGGATGATTTTTTTTTTGCAAGAACACTACCTATAAAAAATTACACTAAATGAGATTTTATTGAAAAAAAAATTTGAAAATATTCACTTACGATTATACGTAGATTCTTGAGGGAGAACTTTGATACCTATTGAAAATATTCACTTAACGATTATATGTAGATTCTTGAGGGAGAACTTTGATACCTATTAAAGTATTTTCTAGCTGAAGAGATTAATTTTTGTAGTTGTGTATAAAATATACTCATTTTTACCACACAAAAAAAAAACGATTATACATGGTCTTAACTAATTAATACAATTAAAAAGAAAAAATAATTAATATTATGTTGAAAATAATATTTATTTTTAAATTTTTAAATAAATTATTCTTACAAATTATTGAGGATGGGGAATCACTGATCAATCTTAAAATAACATTTAATTTCATTCTAATTGTAACAACTAGGTAAATTACTTGTTCAAGACACGGGTTTAATTAAAATATTAATAAATTAAATTTTTATTTTAAAATACTAATTTTGATAAGTATAATTTCATTAAAAAATATATTTTCAATTATAATTATGTAATTCTATTTAATAATAATTTATATTAAAAATATAAAAAAATAATAATATTTGATGAACTAAAACTGTAAATTTTACAAAAATAATTATATTTTTTTGTCAATTCCATAAAGTTAATACAATTGAATAATATATCATAGTTGTTTATAAAATTATTTATGTAAAAAAATTTAAGTTATTTTATATATTATTGTAGAATTCTGTATATTATATATTGATATATTTTAGAACCCATAATAATAACTCGTTTGAATTATAACTTTCTTTAATAGACAATAGATTCATATAATTAGGGGTGTTCGCGGTTCGGTTTGGATCAGTTTTAAAGCAAAAATTCATCCGATCCAAAGATTAATTCACTTAAGGTTCGGTTCGATTTTGAATGATATATTTAAAAAAATCAAATCTGATCCGATCTAATTTTATGCGGTTTAATTTGGATCGGTTTTTGAATATCCAAATTACACATTATATTTTTATTAATATTATAAAACTACTAATAAATCATAGATTTGATATAATATATAACATATAGAATATTAAAAGTTAATATTACAAAATGAGAGTGATTGATTATGCTTTAAATAATAAAAATAAATAGATTATACCAAACTAATAAATATTATTAAAAAAATTATTATCATCTAATAATAAATTCACATAACATGTCATACTAATAAAAAGTAAATAAGTATCAAAATATATTTATGCGGTTCGGTTTGGTTTGGATCAGTTTTGAAAAATTCATCCGAAATTCAATCCGAACCGATCGGTTTTCATAAAATAACATCCAAACACAACCAATAACTTTCAATTTTTTATGGTTTTCGGTTTTTTGGATCGGTTTTCGGTTTTTTATTTGGATTGGTTTGGATTTGAACACACTACGCCAAAAATAAGCTTTAGCAGCACACATACGAAAGCGCTTTTAGGAAAAAGCGCTGCTGTAGGTATTAAAAAAAATTCGCTTAAAAAAAGCGCTTTCAAAGGGTTCCTTAAGAAAGCGCTTTTCAAAAGCGCTGCTAAAGGTCACCCTTAGAAAGCGCTTTTTGAGAAGCGCTTCTAAAGGGTGCCTTTCAGAGGCAACCTAAGAAAGCGCTTTTCAAAAGCGCTTCTAAAGGTCAGCCTTAGAAAGCGCTTTTTCAAAAGCGCTGCTAAATCTGGCCTTTAGAAAGCGCTTTTAAAAGCGCTGCTATAGGATATGCTACGAAAGCACTTTTTTATGTAAAAGCGTTGTTATACATGACCATTAGAAAGCGCTTTTAAAAGCGCTTTCGTAGGTTGTTTTATAATAAATTTTATTGTTTTTTATTAAAGGTGTGTTCGTACTGTGGCTGTTGTGTTTCCTTTCTTCCAACCCAACCCCCAAATTCGTTCCTGTTCCTTCTTCGTCCTCTCACAGTAGCTCTTTCCGTTCAATCGCCACCATCGTCAACTCTCATCGCCGCCGCACGACTCGTCCCTCTCTTCACAAGGTTCGTACTGTGGCTGTTATGTATTCTGAAATCAGTTTTGGTTTTCGTTGATTATTATTTTCTTTATCATTCACAGTGTATTGGTTGTTGTTGTTGTTTGATGATTTTTGAATGTTTCCTAAAACCCTTTGATGATTTTTTTGTTACCTTTTTTTTGGAGCAATGGACGGTTTAGTGTTAGGTGATTATGTTTTAAAAGTTATTGAGCGTTTATTGAATAATCGGGCACGGAATATATTCTTGGAAGCCATAGTGACATACAAAATTCTTGTTTCATTGATTAGCAAGCACAGTTAGTGTTTCTCACTCACACTAGTTGGACGGCAGGTTGTGATTCCCGATTAAGGCTCTCTGTCTTTTGATGTTTGTTTAATGTGTTTTGGAAATTAATCGGTTTCTTTAACTTCTTCAGGACCTTCCGATTCAGAGCAACATATCTCACCGGAGAACTCAAATGTGTCAAATCGTCAGAAAACAAGAGTCATATATCTCACCGGAGAACCGCTTGCCACAAGAGAACCGTCAGGTGATTGTTTCTTCTTTTCAATCTATACAAAATATTTTGTCCTTTTTGTTTATTACAAAATTTCGTAGCAGAAAACATATCTTAGACTAAAATGAGGCCATGCCATATATAAGAAACAGATGAAGTTTGGTATAGGGTAGCCCTTGAGTTTGATGAAACAAGGGTGTACTAGTATATAAGAAACGGACATGTAGAGGGTTGTGCTAATGATGTTGTGTTGTGTTAGTGAATGGTGGTGGAAATTATGATTCATTAACAAACGGGGTTACCCATTTCACATTACCATTCATTATTATGTATCTATATATCTATATCTATATGTATATTTAATTAGAGATAATGTAAAGTGATTAATTAACTTGTTAATGAGATGGATAAAGAAACAAAAACAACTTTTTAAGGTAACAGAATGCATGCTTATATAAAATTGTGAGAGTTAAGAATTGTGATTAGTGATGTAATCATAAAATGTGATTAGTTGATAGAATAAAATGAATTTAGTGAAAAGTATTGAGTATTGGTTTTGTTATATGGTTGTGCAAGAGCAAGTGCAAGTGCAAGTTTTGAGTATTGGTTTTGTTTTCTAACTTATCATTTAGCTCAGATTGACTCAGAAACCGTAAACCATGGATAAGACATGGATGTATTCCAATCGATTATCGAAAGAGTACGAGAACGGGGTATCGGAATTCGTTAAGTTTGCTGTTGCACACGCCGAAGACCCCGGTCGAATGACATGTCCTTGTTTGTGTTGCTGTTATGGGAATTGGGTTGACGCGGTTCAGTTGGCATCGCATCTAATACGGTATGGAATTGATAGAAGTTATACATGTTGAAATATGCATGGTGAGAAAAGTGACGGGAATGATGAATCGGGGGATAATAGGACCTATGCTTCAAACGACAATGGCACAAATACATACGATTATGATCGAGTTGAAGAGATTGCATAAGCGCTTGAAGAAGATCTTAATGATTGTCCCAAAATGTTCGAGAGGTTGGTAAGCGATGCAAAGAAACCGTTGTATAATGGTTATACAAAATTCACAAGATTGTCTGTGGTATTAAAGTTGTACAACTTAAAGGCGGGCAATAGATGGTCGGATAAAAGTTTCACAGAGTTATTAGCCCTTATGAAAGATATGCTACCAGAGGATAATGTTCTCCCCAATCGAACGTATGAGGCCAAAAAGATGTTGTACTCTATTGGCGTGAGCTATGACAAGATACATGTCTGTCCAAAAGATTGCGTTTTGTTTCAAAACGAGTATGCATCGTTAAATGAGTGTCCTAAATGCGGTGCCCCTCGATGTAAGAAAAAGTTGTCTCCGACAAAAGTCTTATGCTATTTTCCTATAATTCCGAGATTTAGACGGATGTATCGTAGTGAAACCGATTCAAGACACTTAACTTGGCATGCATATGAAAGAATTGTTGATGGAAAGTTTCGACATCCGGCAGATTCACCACAGTGGATGAAAATTGATAATGATTATCCTGAATTTGGAAAAGACGCAAGAAACCTTCGCTTGGCATTGTCTACTGATGGAATGAACCCACACGGTATTGAAAGTATCTCGCATAGCACATGGCCTGTAATTCTTATGATTTATAACC